TGGTTCATTAGATCAAGACCTGCATTGGGCTCTGCACTGTCAGTGTAGAGCCTGCTTAGGATTCTCTCCCTCTTTCTTTGCCCCTCCCCCACGTGTACTGTTTCTCTCTCAAAGTAAATAACAAGTAAACATTTTTAAAAATCCTTTAAAAAATAAAATAAATGTTTGGTTTGTTTTTGTAACTGTTCTTCAGATTGTATTGTGTTTCAATAATTCCATCTGCTTTCTTCTGATAGAATTGTACTCCTTCAGTTTTTAGTTACTTTGGTTTGTGATGTCATGTTCTCCTGTTGGTTTGGGCTGCTTTACCTGGTAATGTGTTTTGGGCAAGGGCCAATGACCTGACCCTTATCTATGTCATTTTCTAGTAGAATTAAGGAAGGAGTAGGTGGGTTGAGCTCTAGGACACAGAACTCCAGGGATCCTCAAACCACTTAATTAGTCCCACTTGCTGCCTCCCTACAAACCAACTCCTCCAGTCAAGGTATTATTGGACTTAAAGAAGGTGTAATTTTGGAGGAGCTATGTCCCTAGTCTGTGATCTGTCTTAGGATTTCGAGGAAGAAAGATATAGTGAAATGAGCACCTGCCTCTCCGAGTAAAATTAATTTTATTCAATGCCTCACCTCAGCAGTGTTGTTTTGCTGACTTACCCAGAGATCTGGGTTACTACCTTAAGTTTCTTCTGAGTAGACTGACATAGATTGTCCCAAGGCAATGTGGGAGAGAGACAATAGAAATAATTTAAAGCTTCCTTTCTCCAACCTGTTCTTTCACTGTGTCCTCTAACTGTGCTCCACCCCAGACTGTGACTACCTTCTTCCCTTGCCACACACAATCATTGTTTTAAAACAGCTTTCAGCTCCCTCAGTTTTCAAAATTTGTCTTAGTTCTTAAAATGTTTGCCTTTTATAATTTAGATAAAGGAACTAGCAGCTAATGGTAGTTCATCATTGTAAAAGGATTCAGTAAGTGTTGTATTATAATTTCCATTCATAGTACTTGCAAACAAAAATCTCTGTCATATTTATAGTTATTTTCCCTTTTTATTCTGCACTTTGCTTACTTGTATCTTTTCATTTTGCTTGATCACTCTTGCTAACAGTTTATCTCTATCATTGATCTGATTAAAGAACTAGTCCTGGTCTTGTGAATTTAATGATTTTTTTTTTGTTGATACACTTCACTTATTCTTGTTTCTTTTGATTTTCTGTTGTTTTCCAATACTTCTTAAATTGAATGTTTAACTCATTTGTTTTTAATATTCTTATTTTCTGACAAATGTATTTGTCATTTAATTTCCATAATTTCATAATTACTTCAAGGGTAATTTAGTAATAACTTAGTTGGTTTCTAAATGTCTTACAGCTATTCTGTATTTTCTAAACTTAATTTAATAAATGCAAATTTATTAATTTAATAATGCAAAGCATAGTCTGTAGAGTACTGATACTTTGAAACTATTAGGGCTTCCCTTGTCACCTAATACATGGCTTATTTTTATACACATTATACATATGCTTAAAAAGAATGGTGAACGGGGGTGCCTGACTGGCTCAGTCAGAAGAGCATGTGACTCTTGATCTCGGGATTATGAGTTTGAGCCCCACATTGGGTGTAGAGATTACTTAAGTAAGTAAATTAATTAAAAATATGATGGTAACTATTCAATGAGTGGAGTTATTTACATGTCTACTGGTTTGATCTGGTTTATTGTGTTGTTTACAAATTTTATATCTTATTTCTTGTCTGCTTTAACTATTACTTTCTCAGAGATATGTGTTGTAAAATCATCCTCTTCATTTATTGACACTTGAATCTACTCATTTCTGTCAGTTGTTGCTTAAGTTTGTCAATATCTTTTGCTATCAAGATATATATTTCAGGGACACCTGGGTGGCTCAGTTGGTTGAGCATCCAACTCTGGATTTCAGTTCAGGTCATGATCATAGAGTCGTGAGATCAAGCCCCACATTGGAATCCATGCTGAGTGTGGAACCTGCTTGAGATTCTCTTTCTCTCTACCCCTCTCTCCCACTTATGCTCACATTCTCTCTCTTAAAAAAAGATATGTATTTTAATATGCTCTAATTTCTTTTTGGCCTCACTTTCATCCCTTTATCTATGCTGTTGTTATTCTCTGTGAATCAGTTTCTTTATCTGTAGCAATTTTTTACTAGTTGTTAAGAGTAAACGAGTTAATATTTGTAAAACACTTGAATAGTGTTTGGTTGGCATACAGTATTATATAAGTAGTTAGTATAACAATGAGTAGAAGTGGTAATTAAATCCATGGGCATGGCTGAAATCATTTGAGAAAGCATGACAGTTTGAGAAAATAAGAGGATCAATGATCAATATTTAAGAAACTCTTTTATTTAATGGCTGAGAAGGGAGGCATGAACCTCTAAAAAAAACTGAGTAGACAAAAAAGTAGGAGGAAAACCAAGAAAGTATATTCTCAGTGGCACCAGGAGTGAAGGAATAATTAATAATACTGCTGATAATGGGTAAAATTGTCAAACCACTATGTTGTACGCCCAAAACTAATGTAACATGTGTGCCAAGTATACTTTAATAAAAACATTGATGAAAGAAGTTGAAGATTAAGAAAAATAGTGCTGCTGAGTACAGGTCTGAATGAATGTGTGAAAAACAGCATTAACTGCAACAGTTGAATGAGAGGTTTAATGAGTACAGTGGATGCTGTGATGTATCTCTGGGAACTCCCTTGAGGAATAAAGATCTTATACCATCAGTTGCTGGGAGTGTTGCCAGCAGACATGTCTCAGCTATCAACCTCCTTGAATAATTGCCTTGGCTAAATAGATCCTTTTCGCCTAAGGTCATACCACTTTTCCTTGGCAAAGCTGGCATTCCTACTGGGGAGAACTTTGAAAGTGCATTGCATTTTAAAGGTCTGTGCGGGATGGGCTAAGGCCTTTGTTGAGATGGGGCATCACAACCTAACTTCTGCCTTTTCCCATTTTTTTAAAGTTTATTTATTTACTTTGAGAGAGAGAGGCACACACACACAAGAGGGGCAGAAACAGAGGGAGAGAGAGAGAATATGAAGCAGGCTCCGCATAGTCAGCACAGAGACTGATGCAGGCTCAAACCCACGAACCGTGAGATCGTGACCTGAGCTGAATTCAAGAGTTGTACCCTTAACTGACTGTACCACCCAGGTGCCCCCCTCCCGCCATTTTTTGTTTATTTATTTATTTTGAGAGAGTGTGAGAGGGGGAGGGGCAGAGAGAGAGAGAGAGAGAGAGAGAGAGAATCCCAAGCAGGCTCTGCACTGCCAGCACACAGCCTGATGCCAGGCTTGAACTCATGAAACCATGAGATCGTGACCTGACTGAAACCAAGAGTTAGATGCTTAATGGACTGAGCCACCCAAGCACCTCTCCCTCTTCCCAATTTTACTTCCTTTCCCTCCCTTCCCCATTTACTGATCCCTAATAAACTTCCTGCATGCCAAAGTACTTTGCTTCCCAGGGAACCCAATCGGTGACAATGAATTTCATTTATAGGAAGTGGTGATGGATAAGGGAGAACTGAGATGCAAAAAGTAAGAAGTAAATGATAAAAACATGGAAGAAGCCAAGAATGGGCAATCTATTCAAATAATTTGCTTTCATAGATAGGAGGATAACCAAAATCAAGGCAATATACACGGTTCACCACCCTGCCCCCTCTTCAGTAAGAGAGATATTTGACTGAAAGATAAATGCCAGTTAGACATACTGGAGTCTTGTGTCACTGAAACTAACTTGTAACAAAATGTTACAGCAGTTGGAAATTATTGCTTTCTGTTAATGGATCAGGACATCAAGTTCTTTAAACAATATTAGCTCATTAAGGAGTTTGGGGAATAACTAACCAGCATTTTTAAAAGACTAACATAAACCTTTGAATTAGCCATCTTATGTCTGTCTTCTAAATTTGGTCAGTATGAACCAGTTTACATTTTTATTGCCTATATCTGATAAAACGATCCTCTAAACCACTCCTCCGACAACCTCTTTCTAGCCCCAGCTGAACTAGAAGTCTCTACTCTGTAAGCCAGACTTAACCTGTTTCTTGGTTAAGTTATTTAACAACGGGAATCAAGAGAATCCTGAAAAGTTTCTCTCTGGAGATCCAAATGAAGGTGCAAAACAAAACAAAACAAAAACCTTTATGGGGAATGAAATTTTTAAAGAATTAATTAATTAACTGTATGACCATAAATAATAATTTTGACCGAGTCATGAGCGTGTGGTGGAGGAAAAGGTTAGGTTAAGACTGGAGGCAAAGCTTCAAGAATGAGGAAAAGCATAGAAACTCCAGGAACTATCAATAAATATGCCGCTGGCTACAGGCAGGCGTCTACAAGGTTCGCACGCCACGAGTGCATGGAGACTCCAAAATGGCCCTCCGACGTCTTTTAAAGCACTGGCGGGAAAGAAAAACATACACTAGCGACGAACACAAAGGCAGAAAATTTACGATTGACCCCGGAAATATTTTATTTTGCGTAGGTATCTGGAGAATATTCTTCTGTGATTCGTTGCTTGATCCGGAAGAAGAGCCAGCAAACGTCACTTGCGATTGGATTGTCTCAGAGGGCGGCGCTCTAGCGAGCCAGTCACCTTGGCAACCGGATGTGACGATCGCGGAAGCCGCTGACTGAGCTTTGCTGGGCTGGCAGCTTCGGTGGGCGGGGTCGGTCGAGCCCGTCCGGCGCAGACTTCTCCACAGACCCGACAGTGCTGAGGGAGGCGCCATTAAGGCCACGCCTCCTACGCTGACTCCGGGTGGCTCTGGAGCGGTGTCGTAGGCTGCGGAGGCGGAGACTCGGCCCGCTCCTCTCAAAGCCTAGGGCCCGAGAAGCGTCGTCAGCCGCTTTGGTTCTTCCGGTTTCTGGTGGCGGCGTCGCCTCCCTCCGAAGGCTGGGGATACGCCCTCTCAGCCGTCGTTCCCCTTTCGTCATCGAAACCGTCTTACTCCGGGACACCTGCAGCGAAACATTCTATCGCTCTGGTTCTCGCCCCTTGGAGAGACCTCGCCCCCCCTCACCCCACCCCCATTGCCCACTTTCCTGGATGTGCTGGCCCCTCCGACCCCTCTAAAATGTCCAATAACCTACGGAGGGTCTTCCTGAAACCCGCAGAGGAAAAGTCAGGCAACGCCTCGAAGTGGTAAGTACCGGTTTCGAATCTCGCTCGACACACCCGCCCCTCGCCCGTCTCTTAGCAGGGTGTCGAGTTGGCCGTCGTTTGCGGACTCTGTGCAAGTCAAATGAGCTTGATTCCGCAGTGGGAGCGACTGCGGGGCAAGTGCTCCTCACGGGGCCACTCAGAACCCTCAGAGCGCGCCCCTCTTGGAAACGTAAAGCCTCTTCAGAGCCTGACGCAGGCAAGCCTCGGCCGTGGCTCCCCAGGACTCCATCGTCTCAAGTTACGTAGGCAACCTAGTAGATAGAGCTCCACGGGAGAGGAAAACCAACATGGCCGACAATCCTGTGTGACTAAAACCTTCTGGAAGATTCTTGCGCACTCGCAGAAAAAACACGCAGCGACCAGCACGGACATGCAAGTGCAGCCCAGGTGGCGCTGGACCATCAGTGAAAATAGGTAGTATTTAAGAGAGCGAGAAGGAAAGGAAAAATTTTTGTGTAGTTGATGAGTATATGAATTTAGACGCTGAAAAGTTGATCTCGCGTGAAGGAATGGATTTTTCAAAAATCAGATGATAGTTTTATACGAAGAGAAAGAGAAGTAGACAGAGTAATTCTCGTGTAAAATCGATCCTTTAGGACAGATGAGAATGCCATCTCTAATTGGATGTCTCTGTAGAGGAGCTATGTTTGACGTAGGGAGAGTGTAGTATTTCTTAAGACGTACGTACGTAGTTGCATATTTACAAAACAGTTTTTCACTGACTCAGTTTTTTTAAGAAAAGGTTATGTTGGTCAAGATGAAGTAAAATGGGAACAAAACTGTGAGCGAAGATCGAATATTTTAAGTTGTAGGCTCCATAGTTAGTAGAGGTATAATAAGTGGTGGGAAAAAACTTATGGGGCTCTCTCTGCAGAAGAAAAATGTAAAGAAAGCCTGGAAATTGAGATGTAAAAATCACGGAAGAGGAATTATGTTTGAAGAACATCCGGCTGCCTAAATTTAATCGTAGCTTTGACAGATACTGTTTGTATGACTAAGTGCCTTCTTTCCAGTCGCCTTTCCAGTAAGAGCGCTTAGAGATATTTTAAGAATTAAAAGAAGAAGTGTGTGTAAAATACTGGGTATAGGAAAGCAGAAAACCACTATTTATGTGTTAGCTGTTGTTATTATAAGAATACAAGTTTGTTTCTGTACAAATTTTAGCCCAGGAAGTAGGTAGTAGGTTTCTTTTCATCACTAGTAGATACAAAACAGAATTATAATAACGACTGAAAAACATGCATAATATTCTAAGAAGAAATAACGAATCGCCTTGAGCTAAAGCAATATTGAAGAACTGCCAAGAAAGAACCACTGCTTTTCAAATCGAATAAAGAGCCAGCTTGTGTGTACGTATGTTGTTTGTTGGCTTACTTTGGTGGAAGCTGGGGGGAGAGGAGAGGCAGAGGTAGTGTTCTGTATAGATGATTCAAAAGTAGAATTACTTTCTAATGATTGTTCATTTCTTCTCCCTTGTTTTGGTACCTGGATATTTGATTACATCTGGCTTACCCTAATTTAATGCAGTTTGTTTTAGGATTGCATTGTTTTTCAATATTAGAAATAGGGTAGACTAAGAACTTGACGTTTATATTTCTTGTGTATTTTAACTCTTTTATCCAGTTTCTCAACCTTTGGCTGTCTATATTTGACGTTTTTTGAAATATTACAAATTGAATTATGTTTTGATTATATTCGTAAGTCATTGGGAGTTCTTAACTCGTTGGTTTATGCATTGTTTTCATCATCTTTAAATACATTTGTTTCTTCAATCACTGGGGTTTGACATCACATATTTGGGACATTTACCAGATGCCTTTATGAAGCTATTTGACTCTTATTTTGGTTATTGCTTTGCATATTCTATTCTGTTTTGTAAGTAACAATCTGCATGACGCACAAGTATAATTTTATAAATCATTTGATTACTGTTAGTTATTGAATTTATTGAAAGCTTAGGTTTCATACTTTTCTGGTAATATTTTTGATGGTATTGAATCATTATCTTCATAAACTTAAAATGAATATATGGTTTTCTTATTTTCTATTGATTGTTGGATTTTTCTTGAGTTACTGCTGCTTTTGTAGAGTTTTTCAACACTGCGTTACAGAATGTTTATTGCTTAATGTATCTCTAATTCATCAGGGCATAAAGTGTAAGAATCAAATTTATTCTTAGAGTACAAAGGAAAAATCTAGAAGATCTATGCGATAGTAGGCATTAAGTTTACTTAGATTGGGGCTTTATTTACAAAGAGCAAAACAGGAGTTAGAATGGTATAAGTATAAAGAATGTAAACTTTGGAGTTACAACGACCTAGGTTCATGTCCTAGTTTCCCATTATTATCCGTATAGTTCAAACATTTTGTTGAAAAATATTCACTGAGTGCCTGCTTAAGTGATAGACTGTGCTAAATGGAGAGACTAACTAAAGAAGAGGATATGAACCGTGCCCATGAAAAACCTCATAGCTAAGGGGAAGATGATGTAATATAGTTTAAATAGCATTACGCACAGGATGCTGTCAGGGCATAGAGAAAGGAAATTGTAGAAAGGGTTCGGGAGCACCTGAGTTGGGGAATGTAGATACCAACTTTCCAATTAAAGATAAATGCAGGCTGTGCTCAAGCAGAGGGAACTGGTAAATAAAGCACCAGTATGGTTTATTATTAGCTATTGGTATTTTTGTTTGAGTCTCTACTGTAAGCAGGATGAATAGGTAGCTCTTAAGCGCTTGGTTTGCTCTGCTAGAGAGATTAGACTTCATCTACTGGAGATCATTCAGAGGATTTTATGAAAAGGGTTGTCACTTCCCACGTACATTTTAGATAACTGATGGCAGTGTGGATTTGGGAATGAGGGATCAGGTGTATAAAGATTCTACTTAAGTTGTCCTTTCAGAGATTCTGAAGACCTGAACCAGATGATGTAGAGTAAGGTTGGATTCAGAGAAATATGAAAGGGAAAATAGGCATATTTTGTTAGTGAATTGGCACAAAGAAAGGGGGATCAATTATAATGCCAGTTCTCTGGACAGATATTGGTGAATTAATTGAGATGAGGAACACACCAAAAAAACGATTGCAGAGGTATTTGAATTTGAAACTTAGGCAGAGTCAGAGCTGAAAATAGAGATTTGAGTCAGCACCTTAGATGTATTGTAATAAAAGCCTGTGATGCTACATCTCACAATAATAAGAGTTAGGATGTGATTGGCAATTGGCTTCTGTCTGCTCTTAATCCTTTGTTCTTAAATGGGGAGCTAAAATGAGTGTCCATACCAGCAGGCTTGATTTAGTTCGAAACATAATGTTTCATTGTCAGTTTACTGTGCATTTAGTTTTGTACCCCATAAGTGTTATTATCTTTACTATTTGGGTGTGTAACAAAAGGACATCGACATGTATGCCTTACAGGCTAACTGAAATCTGTTTCTCATTAATCTCTCACTTCATGCAGTTGAATTTTTTGGACCTTGTTATGTTTGCTTTATGTTAAAGTAAATACAAGAAAGTATATAGATGGGATTGCCCATGGGAGCATGTAATTCTGAATAAGTTATTTAATATTACCAAACCTCAAACTATAAAATGGTAATGGTGATACTCACATTACTGGGCTGTTTATTAGGATTAGCGTTGGCTATTTATAATAATTATCTATTATGTATATAATATTATGTAGTATATAGTATTGTATATATTATCACATGTATATGGGGTATGTACATAATGTTAAATCGTAGATAGTACGATGGAAGAAAAGGTCTTCTAGCTGTTGAAAAAAATACATTTTGCAAAAATATCTACAAAATGTTCAATAGCCTGTGAAATTTTTTTCATTCCATTTCTTGTGAATGTGTTATGTCGATATTAGAATTAAAAAAGTTAGAAGTTATATAAATATGTTTAATATACTTACTAAAGTTCTCATACCTTTTTATTAAAGTTCTTACATTGTCAAAAATTACCTGATTCATTTACTTATTCTTGGACACCAATTGTATATTTTAGTGGAGTATGATAACTTGCATTTATTAGGAGCTTATCATAATTCCAGCCTGTCATTTCATTTGCTTCTTATAGAAAGCCTTATCATTCCCATTTTGCTAATGAGGAAACATATTCAAAGAGGTTAAGTAAATTTATTAAAATTAATGAACTAATAATTGGAAGAGCCAAGATTAGAAGCCTGATAATTTTCTAGTGTATTCTTCTTTTGCCTTTTAAAGTCTTTAATTGTTCGTTTTTCCAGCGTAGTTTCTCGGTTCAAATACCAACTGGTTTAAAGGAATTAGCACATTGATTTTTTTTTTTTAAATCTTTAAGTGAAAAACTAGAGCATGGGATGTAGAATCTGGTTCTAATTTTAGTTCTAACATTAGCTTGCAGAGTATGATTTTTAAGAAGACAGAATCTTTATAAGGTTTTAGTTACAGTTACTCTCGTGGCAGGTCTCTTCTAGATCTGGGGGAAAAAATGGATATTGATGGAGAAGGGTGAATTTCACCCTGTTCATTTCAGTTTAATATTTAGAACTTATTCCATTTGTTACCAGTAAGTCGTGTGTGTTTGTTTTTAATGATGACACGCAGGAGTTAATTCAGCTAATGTTATTGTTTACAATGTGCCAGTTACTCTCTTAGGTGTAGAGGATTTACATGCGAAGTGCATAACTTACCCTTAAGGAATTTATGTCTTTGGTAGATTATGTGAATCTCTGTTGATATAATGACATAGAAGAAACTATTTTCCTTCCCTTTTTGAAGGGGAAATGGAAGAGAAGAGTGTAATCAATGATTAGACTTGAAAATAGTTTGTGCGGTATGTTTTCTGTAAAGCAGGCACATTGAGGCCACATAATGAAGTATGTGAATGAAGTATCAGAAGCATGTGCCGTTTGTTTACAAACCATACCAATTAAAAATGTGCATGCCCATACACAGATAATTATAAAAGCATAGGTTCTGCTCTTTGAA